AAATGTTCGGATTTAAGTGTGAGGGTATCTATCATCTGTGACACTGTTCTCCCTTTCCTGTTCAAATGAAAAAAAAAAAATTCAAGTGACTTCTCCAGCTGTCTACACGTTGAGTCCTGATAAAGGAAGGTTTTCATTCATATAAAAAACATCAACACTTTCTTTCAATTGTATGCCAACTATCCACATAGTTTTGTTGCAATCTTTGTTCTCTGTCAGTAGCTGTGGCTTCTTGACAGGTAAAACATTGCACAAATATCGTTATTTGAAAAAATATCCAGATTAAGGCTCTGGTTCTTCAATAGGCAACTTCCTCAGTCTTAAAACAAAACAAAACCAACTTGGTTGAAGTGATTTAGTTTAAATAATGATTTTAATCTTATCTGCACAGTGTAGAAACACAAATTTGATTCTGAGTTGAACTCTAGATATGTGCTCAGTGTTTTGGACCTACGATGGGTCTGTAACCCATCAAGATAAATGGATACAGATTTACATTGTGGTAACTTTTAAATGGCGCACTAAACTCCAACATAAGACAAGATATAGAATATTAATATCTGATAATTAAACTAATTACTTTCCTTGAGTTTCTTTTCCAAGCTGGCACAGGAATACTTGAAAGACAATGAAACTTTACTGCAGAGACAGAGAAAATCACTGAAGCAGGTAATTTACTTTGATGAATTTACATTTATCAAAACTACAGCCACAAAAAATAACTAATAGCTAATACCTGTAGTTTGTAAATATATTTTTAATGCCACAAAATACATTTTAAACATCTGAATCTTGGGCAGTGAGAAAATCCTAACCTATCCCAATAATGCCATATGTATCATATGTTTTTTCTTTCCTGCAATCTTTTTGCCGGGCAGGAACAGCAGGTAGAAGACTCTATGACAATAATTTTGACATATCACCTGGTAATTAATGAAAAATATTTACTAATAATTTCGGTTTATTAATCTATTTCTGATTTTCTTTCAGGGACAAATAAAGAATTCAAAGACATTTTTTTTCTATTGATTTTTTCCTGGATCAGGCTTTAAAGGGTTAAATAGTAGTTTAGTAAACCTAAACTTTCACATATCTTCTGATAAAGAGATTTTCATTAGTGAAAAACATACATTTTCCAGTTTAATTTGAATGATAATTTCTCTTTTTTATGTCTTTCTTTCTTTCTTTCTTTCTTTCTTTTTTCCATATTTGGACAGTTTACTTTCGTCTTTAGAGAATGTATTAGCTTTCAAGGTCTCCACTAACATTGCAGAAGGATGCGTTCAGCCCTTCAAAAGATTCCATCACAGACCCCATGACTATTGGTTTTAGTTTCTATGGCAACTAAGTTGAAAAGTAAGTTGACTCATCTTTTACAAGCATGAGTACAGGATTGTGTAAAGAAGTATTTTGGTCAATTATATTACAGCCAGTCCTACAAAAAAGGAAATAACTCCCCTCTTTAAAAAAAAGTCAACATAACTTGATAATTCAGTGACTATAAACATACCTCTATATATATACCTATTGGTATATAAACAAATAGGTATATGTGTGAGTATGTCTATGTTTTATCTTTTTCTTTTTATCACTCTGTTTTTCTTTTGTTATTCTTATGATTCCTAACCCCAGAGATGCTGGAGATTGCCCAAGAAATATTATATTTCAAGTCCATGTCATGTAAAGATGGAAGACAAAGAAGTTGAGAATATAATGTAGTATTTGTGTCCATTCATATTATTGCAAACATTGGATTTACTTGGTGCAGCCATGGTAACATAAGGAAGAGCAGAGCTTTGAGTACTTTGTGAGAAGCACATTGTATTACTGTCTGCAGACTTTATGACGCAAAACCCACTTTTACATGTGGCTCTGCTTTTATTACAGACTGAAAATGGATGCAGTCACACAACACAATCACACAAGAGAAATTTAATATTTCAAATCCACATGCACAAAGTAAGAGTGGTTGGTTATCTTTTCCAGTGCATGATGACAAAAATCCAATTTGTTAGCTAGATGCTTATGATTTATCACACAGCTCAAATAACTACTTTTGGATGAAATTGATGTACAGTCTAAAACAAACAAACAGTTAAAGACTGATAAACAACTGGCAAAAGACCCCTAAAGAAACGATAAGGCCAATGAAACAAAAAACAGAGACTAAAAAGTAAGAGTATTTGTATTAAGTCTAAACATGTCAGCAGTATTTGCAAATTAGAGTGGCATATGATTTCAAAAGAAATAATGATATTTCGACGGGCCTCGTATGTGAAAATGATACCTACTTTGAGATGACTGGTTCTGGCCTCTTCTTTGCAATATCCTTGTCCTCAAAAGGCTGTTGCTATGGTGACAGCACACCAAAATCATAGATGTCAGAGTCATTTCAGCTGCTGTAACACACACATGGACATACAATTATTTGAAAACACTTGAGTGTTGTGTAAAAATCCAGTTTTGCAAAATGCAAACATTGCAAATAAAGTGATCTACAGCTCCAGGGGCTGGTTAGATTTGAAGTTTCAGTGCTGAGTTGTTTAATGATGCATGAGCTGTTGTAGACTGTATCATGCTGTACTGTTCATGGTCTACAGTTTGCAGATCAGTTTCAGGAAGAACATTTACTTTTGACGGATGCCACTCTTCTGCTTCTGCTGTGTCAGTGTTGATTCTGATCACAGTGCTACTGAAGTTTAAACACATGCCTCCCCAAATAATATTTCAAACTGTGAAAGGTAAAAATGTGATGTATCGGCTCCCTCATTTGGAGAGGGAATAGAAGAGGATTTCAATATCAAAATAATCATATGACTATACAGTATGTCCAGTGCTTAAAGGAGTACAGGGATTTATATCTGTTATATAGCACACACATCATTAAAAATACAGGGGATCAGGAAAAGATGTCGTTGGGCAGCTGAGGAGCAGGTTTAGGATGCTCAAGTACTCTTTTATCCCGTCATCCCAATAGCTTTTTTAGCAGCATAACTCGTCATAGGAAGGGAGAGACTCACCTGTTACATAAAGCAGTGCCGCAGAGCCTCTCTGTAGATCCTCTGAATGCCTCTACGGGTTTGAAAAGTGCTGCACTCAGCAGGCTCCTAAAAACAAAATCCAAAGAGAAAGCTTCAGAAGAAAATTTTTCGTTTTCAAACTTGTGATTAACTGGCCAAACAGGAGTGCGGTGTGACTGCTCTTTAATCACCACTCCGGGGTGTTTGGATTTCCCACAAAGAGCTACGGACATGAAGAGAAAAAAACATCACAGAGCGATAATATGTTTAGTTTTTTTAATTTTTTCCCCCCACAGCTTTTTTTTGGGTCTCCTGCATCAACTCAGTAGAGGAGCACTGTTATTTAATTCCTTTTGTTCTGTGTTCCCCATTCACTGGGGGCTGCATAATTCTGCTGGTGATTGTATCTCTTCTTTCATACTTGAACTGGGCCATCATGGCGTAATGTTCGCGTCCCTTGCGCTGCGTCAGACTTACTCATGCCACCAAGAGCACAATGACTACTCCAGGTTTGGATAAAATAACATCTGGATGTGTCCTGGAGTAGAACCTCTCTGCAAGAATCTTCAGGTGGTAACCAAGTGGCACAGAGGTGTTCACGTGATTGGCAGGTTTCAGGTTTTTCACTTTAACAACATGAACAGTGTTACTCAATCTGACTTTTCAACTTTAAAAACTGTCAACGCTTTGGATAATCTTGTCTTTTTTCTGTGGTATACATTTTTTGTAGGGAAGAGATGTTTCTCGCCAGTGTTATTAACTGTAGACATAGCGGTTATTAAGAATTTATCTTCAGTATGATGAGTTACATCCAAAAACTGCCACTAACTCCCAGGTGACAATGACAACGCAAAAGGATGACACACACTAAATCCTACTGGCTGTGTTAGATATAAATTACTGACGATAAAAATGTATTTTTGCCCTGAACATGAATGTTAGTCCAGTATACTGGAACAGACCAGTAGCTGCCAACCTTTCTTGGAGAAAGGTGAAAATGTATTGTTCTTGTCTCTGGTTGTCAAGAAGTTGTTGCTATTAGCTTCCAGAGGCATAGTGTCAGGTTTTCCTGTAGGAACTGCATGAGTCTGAAAGTATATTTTTTTAAAAAGGGACCTCACAGTAGCAGCTCTAAATACAACACCTTCATTCAAAATTAGCATGAGCACAAAGATGTTGTGTTCTAGTCTGGTCTCATGGAAATTTCCATCAAACAGGAGGTTTTCTTTCATGTTGATGAACATGAAATCCTTTGAATCTCTTCATGCCACCAAGTGTGACTTTCAAATGATCCATTGCTGAAATATGAGAAACAAACAGTAATTGATATTTGGATGGGATAACTTTGAGGGTTTTCAATGAATAATTGAACCATCTTGTCTTTAATACTTAGCCGTGGTTTGGGATGGGGATCATACACACTGCAAGATCAGTGGGTGATAGGTTAAGATAGAAATGGCTTACATTCAGTTTGTTCATTGTCTGGAACCATAAACAGTTCCAGAAAAAAAAAAGACATTCTTTTAACGGTGTGTATGACTAACTGGAAATTCAGTTTCCATTTGGAAAAGATAGGTTTTTAGTACCTGCTGCCTGTTTTGTGTTATATAAGCATGAGTACAGCAAACCTTACACACCACAGCTGATGGAAAAATGCTTTTGATATAGCAACCCTAACATATCATATGTAGGGTGGTGCCATTGTGTCTTAAATGGTTCATATAACAAGGCACTCAAATAAAACGAATATTCAAACCACGGAAGCGGTCTCATGTAACTTTTAATAGAATTCTGTAAAACAACAGAAACAAAAAGAACAATTAAAAAGAAAATATATTTCGACTATCCTTTTTATTCCCCCTATTTGAGCAGTGTGGGCATCATCAGGTGAGTGTACGCTAAAAGTTGGGGGGTGGGGGGATGGGGGGTGGGGGGGGTGATATCGTAAGATTTGATGCAATACTGCACGCGCAGTCAGCCAGCAGAGCGTGCCTCGCGCGCACTTCTCCTCCCCCCTGCATCACGGTCCGCTCGCACCATCCACCACACACTCACGCAATGCTCCCGTGAATAAGCCGACTTGTTGGAATTGCTTCTTGAGGATCTTCCGGAGCTCTGCCTGCAACATCAGCGGGATCACAGAAAAGTGAAGCCGCTCAAAGAGAATAACCAACAGCAGACAGCAGGCACGTGGATTACCGATCACAGCCCCTTTACTTTATTACAGGTAAGTGAGGACAGTTTGCTTTTCAAAATCCCCCGGTCACAGATACATTTTTTTAATTAATTAAAAAAAAAGAAAGGAATAAAAAGAGAATGAAGAAAGAGTGATGAATGTTGCAGAATGTTCCCAGAGATGAATCTTTTCAGGAACTGATCTTGACCACATCTGATGGTACGTCTTTTGTTTACAGAACTTTCCAGACATTGATGTGTTGGGTGAAATCTCTCAAATGATCTGTCAGCTTCTTTTAATTGGTTTTTCTTTGTTTTTAGACCCACCACTACAGTTTGCATATTATCTTTGAAGCTTTGACAACATTCTCAAAGAGGGTGCTGCACAAATGTTTACCATGTTGGGATTTAAAACAGAATATTTTGTCATGGAATTTCTATCTGCCTCACGTTGTGGGTTTTCGGCTAATTTCTTGGGAGGGCTGTGAACAGCTAGGAAAAACAGATTTCCTGTATAATGTGTATAATCCACAACAGGCGTAACACCAGTTGTTCATAAGGACTTTCAAAAACTGTGTTCCTCATACAAATCCTACCGACTGCAGCACTTCTTGAGTTCGTTCTCACAGTCACGCAGTGTTCTTGCTTTCTTTCTTGTGATTACTTGTCATCATTTCACACCTTGCCATCTTGTGACAGCTATCCCCCCTTACTCTGGCAAAGCTCAAACCACCACCTCATTCACCCCAGAGGGAGGCCAGTGATTGAGCCTTTCAGAACACTCTTGTCCAGCAAGAGGACAAACAGTGGAAGCGGCTGTCTGCACCAGAACAGATCAAGGCATAAAGCCCTGTACCATCACTGTCAGGATTCTGGTTTAGCATAGAGGGAACATAACCGTGAAGCATTAGATCAGTGTCTCGTTTAAAGTGAAAAAAAAGTTTCGGAGGCTTGGGCGTAGAGGGTGATGAAAAAACAAAATGGGTTTAAGCGCAATGATCACAGATGACCGATAAACAAACAGTCAAAATTGGTCATCTATGAAAATCCATCATGTACAGGCAGAACATGATGCAGTCTCATGAAGACAAAATGCTTTGAAAACAAGAGACAAGCCTGATTTTAGTGTCTGCCTTTTTGTGCTCTTCTCAAACAATGAGAGCTTGTGAGCAACTTAAAACCTCATCATTTCACCAGTGCTTGAAGTGCATATTTGAATGGGGCGGTGGCATTTTTATGTAACAGTTCTTAGATTTAGTGGACTATCACACCTTATAAAGTCTCAAATTAAAAGGCGTTGAAGTGTAGATAAGTTATAAGCAGCTGTCACTTAGCTGCTTTGATTTATCTGGTTTATACATGATGGATTTTCAGTTTGGATGGAGTCCTTGAGGATTTGGTTCCAGTAACAGTCACACAAGGTGGCAGCGATCGTGGCCAGTAACGGCAACAAGAACACAGGGATGGGATCTGCAAAGACAGCGCATACTGTAGCACTAGGAAACCATGGCAACAAAACAACATCAGAAGAAACTGGTCAGATGAGCCAGTGATGCTTAAGAAAGGGATGAATGGTGGACTCAATGCACATTGCAAAGAAAGAAAAAAAAAGACTGATTCATACTCTTTCTTTTTTTCTAGATCTTGTGTCTTCTCATGTTTGATGTGGTGTCCTTGAAAATCAGAAATGGTAGATTGTAGTTTAATCTGTATTCTCAAGCAAAAAGAAGAGCATTTAAATCAGAAATTAAGAATGACTAAAGCTAGAAATTTGGCTCAAACATCATCATTACCATCTGCCCTCTGTCACCAAACAGCTCCCTTTGAAGAGGCTCAACTGTGGCCAAATCCACCACTCTGGACTGTGTCCACTGTCTCACATTGCTTTGACCAAGAATCCAACACCCCCATTCCAAAATATCAAGTCTGAAAAAAAAGTATGTGTATAGACATACAAGAATACACACACACATATGCACGTAGGTGTGTGGGTGAACTGACATAATAAAATAAGCCAGAAGAGATTTAAACTTTGAAGAAATATTTTTTTAAAAGTCATTTCAGACCAACTAAACACTTTTTTAATTAATGGAAATCGTTGATTCGTGATTGGGTAAAAATAAATAAAATAAAGAAAGGGCAAACTGTAAGACTTTTGGAAATGTTGAAAATAAAGCTGTCAGGAAAAGTCCTATCCTTCTCTGTTTTTGAGATGCAACCACCAACCTCAGAGTTTAGATTGTTCCATGAAATACCTTTGGGTAGATGATTCAAAGCCTTTTTTCCCCTCTTTTTATTCTAATGAGAGTGATGAGGCAGAAGGATGAGCCCATGGCTACATCTCTAATGGACGGAGGACTCTAATCTGACTCAGACTCCTGCAGGGTGGAGGCAGAGTACCCGTATGGGCTGCTCTCATAAAGATGACCTAGTTGGACACTTCCAGGTTAAAAGATGACTGAAAATGAACTCGCAAACCAGCTGCCTCTTTCTGGAAGGCATTGTCTTCATCTAGCTATAAAGAGAAATGGACAGCATTCAAACAGAGCACAGGATTTCGGAGGGACCCTATGCATCATTTGTGCTCAAAATCTCCAGTACTTTACTAGCCAGAGGAGGACTTAATGCTGACTGAGAAATAGTCTGCCCCCCTTCCAAAAATCAATTTAGAACTATTTAGCTCTTATTAAACATGCAGCAGCTTTGTTGACTCAATAAAGGGAATCATTATAACTTAATCAACTGAAAAATGGCTCATGGCAGTTATTAAAAAGTGCTTTTTGCTGTTTTTGCTGAAATATATTGTAATTTCTGTTGTACACTTAACTTTAAGAGTGAAGCAAAGCAATAGAGTAGGGGTGCATATCGTGAATACATAATATGAAATAAGCATACATTTATCCTGCACACTTAGAGATGCTTAAATGCTGCACATAATGCATGCTCTTATCTTATTACAAAAGCATATTTAGACTAAAATCTTTTGTATCTATCTATAGTGTTTAAATCTAAGTAGAAACACAAGCGAATTTAGCCTTTGAACGATTCCACTTTTATTAGCATTAAGACAACTACATTTTTTCATACTGTGCATTATTGTTTTTTTTACCATCTTAGTCTGCTAGTTAGTTCCCAGTGTTTGAACAACACTAAATATCAGTTCAATTTTTAAGTTAGTGACTAATATAGCCATCCTTCTTTGCTGCTTTGAGCCTTCCGTTCATGGATCTTGACTGTTTCCTGATCTTCTGATCCCCCTTTTGAATGCTATTTAAAGAGATTTCTTACAGGTTCTCAAGACAATTTTGGTCCAATTTGTTCCAGGTCATTTCTGCTTCTATTGTAATCAGATTCTTGGAGAACGTGACAGGTTGTTGTCTCAGTGACCAATCGTTCCTTTTTTAATGTTCAAGATATTTTCCAATAGTACTACGAGCAAGAAGTATCTTCAAAGAAAGCTGAAGGCATGTCTAGGAGATGTTTTCTGTCCATTTCAACTTGCTCATGTTAAGTGGCTGGCATACTTTGCCTTCTGCCTGCTGGGGAGTGACATGGGATTGTCCATTAGTGAGGTGGCATTGGGGCAATCTATCTGCCCTATAGAAAGTGCCTTTCATTTCTCTCTAAAATCTCTGATAGTCAGTGTCAGTTTCTTTTTTTCCGGACTCACATTTATATTCATATTTGTGAATAAAATAAGAGTTGTGTTTTTAACAGTCCTCATAAAGAAAATGTATCTGGGTACCACAGTTAAGTTTAGTTTTTGAACTTAAACTTATACAAGAGCTTCTTGATAGTTTTACATTGATTATTGTTCAAATAAATTGCATTTAATGCACATATTTCTTTCTCCAGAAAAGCCCTCACTTCCAAAATGGTCGTATCGCAATAAATTAACTTTTACATGTTTAATTTGAAGATGCCAACATGCAGCTTCTCAGAGCTATTATGGTTTAAAAACCTTTTAATTTTTAATTTTAAGGGTCCCAGGATGTTCTTGCAAAAAATACACAAGTGTCGCAATTTTTTAAATCTGAGTTTGTTTGATTTTTACGCATTGTAAATATGAAAAACCTGTATTTTATTAATAAAAAACATAAAAATTCCAGTGCCTTACGTTTCCCTTTGCTTTGAGAATTGACACAAAAATTTTAGCTTGTACTTGTGTTATTTTCCCCCTTGTTTCGATATGTCTGCATGAAATGTTCTGTGTTAGTCCACGGCACATGCTGCTTTGGATGTGACAATCTACCTAGTAAAAAGAAGAATTCAAGCAGAGGACAGTGTGCCACTGCCTGCTTACATGATGGGAGATTTTAACCTGTAATCATTTTTATTGAACTTAATATCACAAATTTTGTCATATCTGCAAAGAATACTAATTAAGTTTTTTTTTCTTGCTGAGCTCTGCAACATTATTAATTTAAAAAAGTAGGGCATATGATTCAAATCATTTAACAGTACAAGATAAAAGACCTCTGATTCAGCAATAGTCAGGTGCCTTCTACATCTTCCTTCTCTGATGAAAAGCATCTTTTTATCTCCAAGACTGCTTTGGGAGAGGAAAACAAATTTGCACAAATTTCTGTCTGACTTGTAATGTTTTGTGTGCTGTGGTTCTATGAGTCATGCATTGGAGAACAGATATGGGGATCTCTGATTCATTGTGAGTATGATGATTGCAGTAAATCACATAATCTCACATTGCCACTAGCCTTTAATTTTGCTTGGCATTTGGGGTGTTGTTTGTCTCTCCGAGGTAACTGTGCGATGTGTTAAAGTGAAAAATAAAGGCAACAAATAATGTTAATAAATAATTCAATAACACATAAAGATATCCGAGACACCCGTGACGGATGATGGGAAAAACTGGTCTTAGGTGATTTAAGATCCTCGTCAGACAGTATTTACTTTGCTGCTTTTTTATTTTCTTTTTATATTCAAGCTATTTGAAGTAATTATGAACATAAAGTCTGGTGATTGAATTCACTTTGCATAAGCCATTATTGAGAGAACATTGTGTGTTCCTCTGTTGATCTAAATGAATATTATGATAGAAGACTGAGAAAAATAATTAGAAAGAAATAATTCTGATACACAGACCGCACATTTGCATAAATCTAGACAAAAGCTCGAAAAAATTAACAATTCATTAGGGTGTTGTGGTTGCAGACAATGTTATTTCGTTTGAGTTCATCTATGAAATGCTCGCCATGCTGCAGCCTAATGGAAACCTGAGTGATTCTACTCAATGGGGTATTCTGTACTGTAACGGGCAGATGACAAAGTGGAATCTGATATTGTTGGACCTAAAGTCTGCTGTGAGAAATGGACTCTTTTTTATTTGATTCTTTTTCCATTTTTTCAGAATTTTTTGTCTCTCTTCACTTGCCAAAAGGGACAGTCTTCTTAATATGTGCTTAACTCTGAAAAAAAGTTTCCTTTGGTAACAGTCATTGTCTAATATTCACCCAAGTAAGGAAAACCTTGGATTAGAGAGACATGATCCCTATGGCCATTCTGAGTTTAACCCCAACTGTACTTTAACATGCTTTTTTTCCCTCTGCTTGCAAAAAATCCAAGATTTAGAAATGCACCCAACTTTAGAATTCTGCAAGTGTTGCATGCATTTGGTGACTTCATACAGTAGCAGCATATGAAGTATATGTATTCTGGATGTTGACAGAAGGGCAACATGGACATATGTCGATTCTCACAATCTGTATCTGTTACCAGGCTAAAAGCAGCATTAGCCAAGGCGGACTCCATTTAGTTATGATAGCCAAGCAAAACACATATGGTTCAATTCTACAGTGCAGATATGTGCAGATTGGATTAAAGACTAATGAGTCCCCTTGTGGACTGCAGCCCATATGTACACAGCCTACGGTCTTCATTTTGACAGCTATCATGACTTGCAGGAAGATAAACTACAAATGAACAATCCAAATTCTCAACAGACATCCTAGTATGTGACAATTTCTATCTATCTATCTATCTATCTATCTATCTATCTATCTATCTATCTA